GCATCCCAGCGCCGGACCGTCCCATCCCAAGACCCAGACACGATCTGCTTGCCGTCGGGGGAGAAGGCGACTGACGTGACCGCATCTGTATGGCCCTCGAGTACTTGAAGCATCGCATTCCAATTTGTTTCTACTCGAGGCTTTGTCTGGATCCAAGACGGAATACACTTCTCAAAGGCTTTTCGAACGATGCTATTCTCTGGAGCGAAAACAAGAGCTGAGCAATATACCTGAAGAGGCGCCTGTTCAATAATTGATCGATTGGATACAGCAAATCGCCTGGCATCTTGTATAAACGCACTTAAACCAGGGCTTTTATCAAACTTATTTATATTAGGACAACCCTATATCGACAAGACTAGAATAAAACATACCTGAAGATCCTCGAGCTTTTGAATCATAACTATACCTTGTGATATGCTTTGCAACAGGCTCAGTGCCTCAAGCCAATACAAGAAGTACTGACGGAGGAAACTATAGACTATGCCACTATCCTTAAGGTCCCCGATTAATTCTTCTCTACTTTGACATTCAAGCAGATGATCAATCCAGTAAAGACAAGAGTACCGAACGGCGGCGAGGGGAGCTGGATCGGCCTGCTCAACTTGGCTGACAGTGGTTCCGGGAGCTCTTAGACTATAGACATCGCGCTGTAGTACCGTAGGCAGGACTTGTAGCGACCGCGAGAATATAGCATAGTGAGTATCCGGCATCCCAGAAGGAAAGACGATATCAACAGCCGTATTGGTCAAGAAGTCCTTAGCAGACTGATGGACAAAAGTAACAGTGCGATCTCGAATTGTAAGAAAAGAGCCGCAATGTCCTATGATCTCTGCGAGAGCCTTGTAATTACCAGAACTTCGTGGTGGCATGTCGACGAACGAAGGCAGCTCGTCTAATGTAATGGGACGGTGTATGACTGCGACGACGGCCAGTATACTTTTGCAGCGCTTAGCTGTCCTTGAAGTACTAATCTGCTCTATTATCCGCATATAAAGGGTATTAAGTCCAGGGGGAAACGCTGACAACGTTTCTTCAACCTCCCATCCTGGTATACTGGTGAGTTCTTGACAAACCAAAGCAACCCAAAGGAATGTGCCATGTGCATTTGAGGACAAGTAGCGCTGGACAGCGTCTCGGGTATCTATGTCGTATTCTTGTCGCTCCGCTAACCAATTTACCTTGGATTTGATGTATGTACTGACGGCTGCGGAGACGGACTTTTCGTTCAGCTCAAGACACATGCTTGCTTTCTGTGTCGCTCTGTTGAAGCCCTTCTCGATACTCGGCCAATTACGACTAGAAACAATCCACTTGGTCTGAGGAGACTTGGACGAAATCTGTACGATAAGGTCCAACAATTTCGGCAAACCCACTTCGCATTCGTCGAGCGCGTCAACGACTAAACACGTACTCTTCAGGTTCGGGTCTTGTAGAATGTTGGTAAACATTTCGGATAACACAACCCAGCTATTTAGATCCTCGAAGAGCGCTTTGCCGGCTTGATCATACCTTTTCCGTACGTGTGAGATAAGAGCCGGCTGTTCATTGACAAGCAGATAGATTAGACCTCGAAGCACAGCCGTGGCATTGTTAATCTGAGAGTTGGTTGCTTGACAGAAGAAGTATGATAGAAGAGTCGACTTCGGTAAAGACTTCTTCAGCTCGTTGATAATGCCACAGAGCAACATTGTCTTGCCCTTGCCAGGATCTCCTTTGATCCACAGCAGCCAAGTCTGCGGATTGTTCCGCCATTGTCGGAAATCGGAGGTCTCTAGGATCCAGAGATACGAGCCTTCCAGCAAGCCACCCTTTGTCTCCTCAATGCGCGACTTATCATCGCGGGGATCGCTGAGGCGTAAGTCTTGGAGGCACTTGTTCAACTTGTCGATTTCCTCTTCGAGGCGTTTGAATGCACTCGCCATCCCTTCGCCATAACGGAGGGGCATTTGGACGTCAAAAATACCGAGTAATGAGTAGGCTTTGTCTTCTTCGACTGTTGTCTGGCGGGGCTGAATCCATAAAAATCGCTCTTTATCGTCAAACTGCGACAAATAGGCTCCTTGAAGTGCCATTTTAGGAATCCCTGTGATCTCGTGAATTTGCTGCTCTAGAGAACGCTTACTACCAATTCGGTTGGACTCCTTGGAAAAGAAATCAACAGATGTCGGAGCAATAAGCTCTTGAAGAGTCCAGCCTCGAGTAAACCATCTGGATTTCCGAAATGCCGATTCCCAAGCCATTCTGTCGATGTTGACGGGAGTTCTGGAGACATCCGACAGATAGACATAGCATTTAGTCGACATGCGGTACCAGCGAAACATAGAGTTGATAGCTTCTGCAAGCTCAGCGCTATTTGATTTGTCAATACAGCAGGTGTCCACCCAAAAGTATTGCAAGCCATCACGCTTAGCCTGCTCTGCGCAGAACCGTATCTTGGCGTAACCAGTTTTTGTCGTGCCGATTCCTTTCTGCAGCTCTTCAAAGGTGACCTCCTCCTCCTCCCATGTGTGCGAAAGTATAGCATACTTCGGGATGTCGTTCTCGAGGAACTTGGTCAGGCTAATGTTACCGTCGCCGTTGTTGTATAGCAGACGCATTATGCGACTAGGCTCAGGGATCGCAAGAGGAAAGGTTCTTAGTCGCTGTGGAGCTGTCGAAAGAGTATAGACGTGAAGTGAGTGAAGGTTGGAGAAGACGTCGCATTGAGGCTGGCGGACTTAGCTGTGCTGCAGCCTCGCGGTAATGATACCAACGAGCATCACCGCCGCGGAAAACCTGCCAATCACACTGGCCTACGAGTAAGTTACCGCAGAAACTCGGGAAGTCATAAGGGTAAGGATGTAGTATGTTCGGAGCCAGTCTCGATTAAGCATAATGTATTTATGTCGCTAAAGGAGGAGATGAGGGAAGTGCACAGTGAATATCAAAATTGTAAAATCAGCAACTGGATCTCTCAGCTTCAACTTTTTACCGAGAATCGTGGCTGAATACAATCAGCTGAGATCGTGATAAAAGTGCAAACATCTTCTAGAAGTTTCGGCAGAATATCACGTGACTATTTTCATTGGTTGGCAAAAGTCATCGCACCCGTCCTCTACTATTTCTTCTTTCATCTATCAATCGACAGGTTGCCATGACCGATCGTGCTAGTCGAGCTCTTGCAGAGAACGATCTGCCAGGAGAGCCTCGAACGTACGATGTGATATCGAAACGAAGTAATGTTTTTATTTTTATTTTAAATCATTGTGCACTTGGGCGACCTTCGATCGAAGCTAAGGCCTAAGGCCAACTCTATCTCAAACTTTTAAAGGAGGAAGCCCTTGTAAAGCATTTAATATTAGAAGCTAACCTCGGAAACCTTATTCTAATCAAGTTTTTAACTTCCCTTGCCTTTATTATCGCCCGCTAGCGTTTTGCGACAAACAATAAAGCGATCAAGCCTTTAAATAAGAACTAGGCTCGCGGCTTTTAAAAGCGTCACTTAAAACTTAAATTTAGAAAAATATAAGCAATAGACTGGAAGCGTCACGAGATTAATATATATAATAAGATTATTTATTGGTTTGATGTAATTAAGAAGGTATTACAAGATCCGGCCATTTTACCCGAAAATGTCTACAATATGGACGAGACGAGAGTTATGTTATGTATACTCGCTTCTATTAAAGTCCTTGTAAGTAGGGACGATCTGCGAGATTATAGAGGTGCGGCTGTCAAGCGCACGATGGTGACTGCCATCGAGTGTATAAGTGCAAATGGTAGGTCCTTGTTACTAATGATTATTTAGCCTGCTACCACCTATTAAAGCAATTAGACCACGTTCCCTACCCCTGGGTGGCATTATACGTGCTCTAAATTTGGATATACCGACTCAAAGATTAGCTTCGAATAGCTCAAACGTGTATTTAATCCTTAAACTAAATAATAAGCTAACGAGAAGCCACGCGTGCTAATATGCGACGGCTTCGGGACACACGAGACCCTTGAAATTCTAGAGTTTTATTTTGAAAATAATATTATCCTATGTCGCTTGCCGTCTCACACGTCCCACAAACTCCAGCCTTGCGATGTTGGGCCATTTGCACCCCTGAAGTCTGCGTATCGTGATGAAGTTGAACGACTATTCCGAGGAAGTGTTAATATAGTCGGTAAGGAGCACTTCACTTTTCTATATAGCCGTGCAAGGGACAAGGCGTTTTCGAAAAGAAATATCACCAGCGCCTGGGCTGCAACTGGTTTGTTTCCGCTCAACCGAGATAGAGTTCTTAAGCATACCCCGAAACCTCCTACTCAAGTGGTTATGCCGGGACCGGATGAGATAAGGACGGATTCTAGTCTAATAGACGAAATACCACAAACGCCTACAACACCAGTTTCAGCAGAGGCTTTTATGTCGTTGCATAGCATGATCCAACAAGACACTTCTAATGAGACGTGCATGACTCGGGTACAGAGGCGTGTACAGAAACTTGCCAATGCCAGCCAGAAAGCTATAGCATACTGTGCCCTACTCGAACATGAAAAGCAACTATTAAAGAAAATAAATAACAAAGCCAAAGTTCGAAGATCGACCCAGTCAACTATACTTGGGAAAAGCCAGGGGAAAGTAATAAGCTTTGAGGATATCGAAGCAGCACGAGCAGCGCGTGCTGCGAAGGATATCGTCAAAGGCAAGGGAAAACGTGGCCGGAAGCGTAAAAATGATTAAAGTAAACCAGAGCCTAAGCCAGAATCAAAGTTGGAGCTAAAGCCAGGACCAGAACTAAAAACAAAGCCAAAACCCGAGCCAGAAATGATACAGGCTGCGAAAAAAGTCAAAAAGAACACCAGGAGACTTACTCCAAAGCGCACGAGTATTACAAAGGCAGATCTGCCAAAACCAACGCCAGAGGCAAAGCCAGTAAAACTGACTCAAGACATCCCCCCAGTAACATGGAGCGCACCGGTTGCGCGGATGTATTAGAGTTATAGAGGACAACTCTATATATTGTTGCAAGAAGAGTAGGCAGTTATTGCTCATTGTTCGTTTTCGAATTGGATTTCTCATAGCAGAATCGCGTGCGCGCTAGATCGCACTAGTTAGCATGCATGGCGCAATAGGAGTAATAATGAATCAACTCGTACCAAATGTCAATAGATAACTCTTTCGTATACGTCTTAGAGAAGGCTTCGGGTCCCTCATTTCTATTGCCTCCCAAGACGTCTCGACTTCCACTCCCTCGCCAGCTTGCTACTCATGTATATCCAGGAAGTTGAACGTGAATATGCCGAGGGAGACGAAGGAGAGGAGGAATGAGGTAGGGTGTGATTTCCTTTGCGACTAGGGAGGTATTAAGACCTCCAAAGGATCCACGAACGCCGGTCTTGCAATATGTGTCGTCGAATTCGCATCGTTGAACGAACTTCGTACCTCAACTACTCTTGAAGTTGATATAGAGATGATATCATAGTGTGAGATTACAATCGCGCAGTAGAAAGTTACGACGGCAATGATATGCAAAGGGTAGAACAGAATACGATAACAAGATTATCAGCCTGAATTGTGTACCCTCCTAAAATTGATATCAGCTAGAAAAGGCTCCTCTGATACTTGCCTGAAAATTAAGGTTGTAGATTAGAGTCACGTGTCGGGTTTCCAGTTTCAGACGTGTAGCTTTCAGAACGCTATTCCAAAAACGGTTCGCCACCTCGGCAAAAGTACTAATCTACGTGGCGAGTTCAGATAAATCTGCATAGTATAGCAGCCACAAAGCTTGAAAAAGGTTTCAGGCATAGTATTAGATATATATAGCCCAGGTGACACTTTTTATAGAACGTAGAATTAAAGAAAGTACTAAGGTGGAGGTTTGGGAAAGGAACTATATTATAGACTTCCAGC